TCACCCAAGTCCAGGAAGTACAGAGAGTCTCATACAGGATAAACAGAGGAACACATGAGACACATTATAATTTAACATATATTAAAAAGAAAAAATATTAAAAGCAACAAGGGAATACTCATAAGGTTATCAGCTAATTTTTCAGCAGAAACTCTGCAGGCCAGAAGGGAGTGGCATGATATATTTATTTAAAGTGATGAAAGAGAAAAACCTACAAAAAAGAATACACAGCAAGAATCTAATTCAGATTCAGCAGAGATATCAAAAGCTTAACAGATAAGCAAAAGCTAAAAGGATTCAGTGCCACCAAAGCAGCTTTACAACAAATGCTAACAGAACGTCTTTGGGGTGGGGGGGTTGGCGGGGAGGAAGGGAGGCAACGCCACAACTAGAAACAAGATCACAAATGGGAAAGCTCACTGCTAAGGCCAACATGCAATAAAAGCAGGAAATCATCCATATACAAATATGATATCAAATCCAGCAACACTGAGGAACGTACAAATGCAGAAAATGGGAACTGCATTTGAAATTAAGAGGCACACACATATATAATTGTACATAGGCCTCCCTGTTGGCTCACCAGTAAGGGATCTGCCTGCAATGCAGGAAATCCGGCTTCGATCCTTGGGTTGGGAAGATCCCCTGGAGAAGGGAATGGCAACCCACTCCAGTATTCTTGCCTAGAGAATTCCATGGACGGAGGAGCCTGGTGGGCTACAGTCCATGGGGTTGTAAAGAGTCGGACATGACTGAGCGACTAACACCTCAATTATTCATATATACATATACATATGATATACATATATGTATATAGATTACTTTATAAAAACCTCACAGGAAATACAAACCAAAAAAATATAATAGACATACACACAAAAAAGAAAAAGCAACCCATATACAACAGTCATCAAATCACAAGAGAAAAGACCAAAAGAGGAAGGAAAGAGAAAAGACCTACAAAAGGAAACCCAAAAGATTCAGACAATGGCAATAGGAACATATATATTGATAATTACCTTAACTAAATGTAAACAGATTAAATGCTCTAATGAAGAGAATAATAACAAAGATCAGTGAAACTAAAAGCTGGTTCTGTGAGAAGATAAAATTGTAGAAATTTAGCCAGGCTCATCAAAAAAAAAGGGAGAGGACTCAATAAAATTAGAAATGAAAACGGAAACGCTACAATGGATGCTACAGAAATACAAAGGATCATAAAAGACTATAAGCAACTGCATGCCAATAAAATGCACAACCTAGAAGAAGTGGACAAATTCTTAGAAAGATACAATCTTCCAAGGCTGAACCAGGAATAAATAGAAAATATGAACAGTTCAGCCACAAGTACTGAAATTGAAATTGTGATTAAAACCTTCCAACAAACTAAATTCCAGGACCAGATGGCTTCAAAAGTGAATTACATCAAACACTTTAGAGAAGAGTGAACATGTACCCTTCTGAAACTCTTCCATAAAGCTGGAGACAAAGGGAACACTCCCCAAGTTCATTCTACAAGGGGACTATCAGCCTGATACCAAAACCAGACAAAGACATCATAATAAAAGATTATAGGCCAATATCACTGATGAACACAGAGGCAAAAGTCCTCAACAAAATACTAGCAAACAGAATCCAACAACACATCAAAAGAATCACATACCATGATCAAGTGGGATTTACCTCAGGTATACAAGGATTGTTCAATATCTGCAAATCAGTATGATAAACCACATTGAAGAATTAAAAACATATCATCACAATAGTTGCAGAAAAAACTTCTGACAAAATTCAACACCCGTTTATGATTTAAAAAAAAAAAAAAAAAAACCTCTCCAGAAAGTGGGCCCAGAAAGAATCTTGTAGTTGTTTAGTCATCAAATTGTGTCTGACTCTCTTCGCAACCCCATGGACACTGTCACCTGCTAGGCTCTTCTGTCCATGGGATTTCCCAGGTAAGACTACTGGAGTGGGTTGCCATATCCTTCAAGGGATCTTCCTGATCCAGGGATTGAAACCACATCTCCTGAACTGCAGGAAGATTCTTTATCACTGAGCCACCTGGGAAGCCCAGAGGGAACCTAACTCAACATAATAAAGGCCATATATGACAAACCCACAACAAACATCATTCTCAATGGTGAATACTAAAAACATTTCCTGTAAGATCAGGAACACGACAAAGATGTCTACTCTTGCCACTATTATTCAACATAGTTTTGGAAGTCCTATCCATGGCAATCAGAGAAGAAAAAGACAAAAAGGAATCCAAATTGGAAAAGAATTGTAAAACTGTCACTGTTTGCAAATGACGTGACACTATACATAGAAAATCCTAAAGATGCTACCAGAAAACTACTAGAGTTCATGAATGAATTTGGTAAGCTGCAAGGTTAGAAAATACATGCATAAAAATATTTTGCATTTCTATACACTAACAATGAAAGATGAAAGAAAATATTCCACTTAGTGTGGCATCAAAGAATAAAACATCTAGGAATATACCTACCTAGGGAGACAAACATGGACAGAGGAGCCTGTTGGGCTACTGTCCATGGGGTCGCAAAGAGTCGGACATGACTAAGCAACTAAGCATAGCACAGCAAGGAGACAAAAGAACTATACTGAGAAAACTATAAAATACCGATGAAAGATATCAAAGATGACACACAAACAGATGGACAGATATACTATGCTCTTGGATTGGAAGACTCAATATTGTGAAAATGACTATACTACCCAAAGCAATCTACAGATTCAATACAATCCCGATCAAATTATCAATGGCAATTTTTCACAGAATTAGAGCAAAGAATTTTACAGTGTGTATGGAAACACAAAAGACCTCAAATGATCAAGCAATCTTGAGAAAGAAAAACAGACTATACTACAAAGCTACAGTCATCAAAACAACATGGTACAGGCAAAAAATCAGAAATACAGACCAATGAAACAGGATAGCGAAGCTCAGAGGTAAACCCACACACCTATGGTCAGCTAATCTATGACAAAGGAGCAACAATATACAATTCAGAAAAAACAGTCTCTTCAATAAGTGGTGCTGGGAAAACAAACAGCCACATGTAAAGGAATGAAATTAGAACACTCCCTAATAACATATACAAAAATAAACTCAAAATAGATTAAAGACTAAATGTAAGGCTGGATACTATAAAATTCTTAAAGGAAAACATAGGCAGAGAACTCTTTGACATAACCAGAGGCAAGACGACAACCCTCAGAATAGGAGAAAATATTTGCAAATGAAGCAACTGACAAGGGATTAACCTCTGAAATACAGAAACAGTTCATGTAGTTTTATAACAAAGAATCCAATAAAACAAAAATGAGTTGGGGGCCTTCCCTGGCAGTCTACAGATAGGACTTTACCTTCCACTGTAGGGTGTGCAGGTTCCACCCCCGGTCAGGGAGCTAAGAACCCATATGCCTTGTGGCAAAAAAAACCCCACAAAAATTATTAAAAATATGCAATACTATAAAGACTTTAAAAATGGTTCAATCAAAAAAAAATTTTTTAATGAGTGGAAGTTCTAAATAGATATTCATCCAAAGACATACAAATGGCCAAGAGGTACATGAAAAGATGCTCATCATCAACTAATCAATAGAGGAATGTAAATCAAAACCACAATTAGGTATCACCTCACACTAGTCAGCATGGCCATCATCAAAAAAATGTGCCAACAATAAATGCTGGAGAGGAGGTAGAGGAAAGGGAACCCTCTTGCTCTGTTGGTGGGAATGTAAATTGATACAGCCACCATGGAAAATAGTATGGAAGCTCTTCAAAAAACTAAAAATAGAGCTATCACATGATCCCATTCCTTGGCATATATCCAGAGAAAACTATAATTCAAAAAAGACACATGCACCCCAGTGTGCACTGCAGCAGTATTTATGATGGCCAGGACATAGAAGAAGCAACCTAAATGTCCATCAGCTGAGGAATGGATAGAGATGTGGTACATATATACAATGGAGTATTACTCAGCCAAAAACAAGAATGAAATAATGCCATTTGCAGTGACATGCACAGACCTAAAGATCATCATACTGAGTAAAGTAAGCAAACAGAGAAAGACAAATATCATATGATATCACTCATATGCAGAATCTAAGGGAACAAATGAACTTATCTCTAAGACTGATACTGAGTCACAGATCTAGAAAACAGATTTATGGTAATGAGGAAGTAAGGGGTTGGGGAAGGGATAAACTGGTAGACTTGGACTGACATATACATACTTCTACTAGATATAAAATAAATAACTAATAAGAACCTCCTATGTAGCTCAAGGAACCCTACTCAATACTTTGTAACGGCCTATATGGGAAAAAAATCTAAAAAACAGTGGAGATATTATATATATATATGTATATATGACTCACTTTGCCGTACAGCAGAAACTAATAAAACATTTTAAGTCAATTATACTCCAATAAAATAAAAAAACCTCACACATTCTCAAGTCTCACCCCATACTACTGAATAATAAAATCTGTGGGTGGGACCCAGGAATTTGTTCTAATAAGCCCTCCAGGTAATTCTGATATGTGCTCAAGTTTGACAACCAGTGCCCTGGTAATACAGCCCCTTGTTTTATATATTGGAAAACTGATCTTCAGAGAAGGATATAACAGACTTGAGAGACAAGAAACATTTTTCCACCATTTATTCCCACAGTGTCTGGCATGTAATATGGGCACACGATAAGGATCTCTTGGAGGAAAAAATAAATGCCTCCTCCAAAGAGTTGTGCTATCACCTAATGATGGCACTGGTCCAAACAATATAAACCTAACTTACCAGAAATATACATATTCATAATGAGTGCATTTCTTTGAAAAGATATGTTCACCATGACACCAAGAATTATAATTTAAAAACTATTACTTTTGAGTGTTGCGTAAAAAAGGAAGTTACCAATAGTCCCATAGTGATTGGTGATCACTGACAAAACCATTCAGTTTTTCCATACCTTGTTATTTTGCCTTAGTTTACTTAACTCTAGTTTATACTTCTCTGCTTCTTCTAGAGCTCTATTTAAGCGAACTTCCATGGCACTTTGACTAGCAACAGCCTGTTTTTGCAGTCTTCTTTTATTCTCTAATTCCTGTACAGCAAAAGAGACAGAACATTTATCAACATAAGTTCCCTCTGATATTTTCAATATTTTCCATTTCTATATTCCTTGTTTTCTCCTAAATTATACACACACACACACGGCCAGAGACTGAACATTGAATGATAGAGGTTTCAGGGAATTCCCATGCTGAATTGGTTTTAGGAAAAAATATCCTTAAAGATATAGTCACAAATTAGGTTTTCAGATTGCGTTTTGTTTGGAATTTTCTGCCTCTTTTTACTGATCCCAAGATACAGTATACATGTCTTCTGTATTTACTTTATAAACAGCTTTTTATAACCATAGTTCTCTTGGAAACCTCCCCAAACACCAATTTGAGACATAAATTCTCTCACTAATACTGTGCTTGTATAAACCTGATAAAATATATAATTTAAGAAATATCTGTCAAATACAGAGCATTCTACGTTAGCCAGGTAAGAAAATCCCAATTCTGAGCAAAAACAACAGATTTTAAGGATATTTTTCACATCCTGGTGTGGGTTTAGACCTGCATTTCTGCAAATATACTGAGAGTTGCTGTTGAAGAGTCTTCAGGCCACACAGCAAGAAACACGAACATATAGGACAAACTCCAAACTCCATCCCAATCTGGCACCATAATCTCATCTACTCCTACAAAAGTTGCCTTCAGCTCTATGGGTAGTCTTGCTTGACTCTCTGCTGAAGAGGCATGATGTTTCTTGCCTCTGACCTTTAGCATGCTCTTGCTTCTGCCCTGATCTCTCTCCACCCCTCATTTTTAACTGGCTAACACCTATTCATCCTTTAACCCTCAGTTAGGGCTATACACTAGGGCTTTACCTTCTCCTAGGAGCCTTTCCTCACTATCCTCTCAGGTTGGATGAAGTTCCCTTTCTTCAGAGATTCTATGGCACGTTGATACACATACATCATAGTGCCTGCCTGTGTGGAACTGAAACTCTCCATTTACCTAATTCCCCTCACTATACGGTAAGCTCCTCAAGGAAAGGAACTACTTTAATATTTATGTTCACAGTACGTCAGTGGCAAATACAGAGCACTAACACCATGTTTACTGAACGGAATTTATTTTGTAATACTTAACTCTACTTTGCATGCCCTACAATGCTGAGTACATAGCATTATACAAAGCAGATACTCAATAAATATCATGGATTTGAAATGATGCCGTTAATAACAGAGTTGTCTGTTTTCTTCTAATTTTTTCTCCTGGCTGTATCACTGTGTTTTATTTGAACACTGATCTCCCTGGTTCTCAGTAATTAAGGGGAAAACAAAACACAACACATGCTGCTCTTTATGCAGGTTTCTAAACAAACTGTGTCTGGATACCATCTGCTCTCGCCAGCCTTCTTCACAGCTTTGTGGGTGGCAGCGACACTCACAGCGGCCTGACTTCTTTCACTGTTCCACGGAAAAGGCAGATTCTCATTAGCTGCCACGGCCACAGTTCCTGCTGCTTCATTTCAGCCTCTTCTCATAAGAATATGGAAATGACTCTTTGCCCTTCTCTTTCCTGCTAGTGACTCCGTAACCTACTTCACAGAAAAATGAAAAACCCTTCTTTACCACATGATGTTCCCCTACCACTAAATCAATACTGCCCCATTTCTTGGGAAAAGTGAAAAAGAAAAAGGGTAGAAGAATAGTAAAGTAGGAAATAAAGTTTTCTTATATGAGAAAATCCACTAAGCAAAGGGTTAATCTTATCAAAAACTTGAAAAGCCTTCTGTTTTCAGTCATGCTTAAGTACTTTTTACAAAAGAAAGTACAGACAAGATACCAATGTTATTATTGAGTATTTTTAAGATGAAAACTCTCTCATAAAAGTCTATTATTACCCTATAAGTTAAGAAGTCTACGTGTTGCTAGAGAAAAATTTTATTAAAAATCTCAAGTCCTGAATTTTACACTAACTTTAAAAGAAAAAGCTGGATAGCTTACAGAAAATCAAGTCTGACTTTAAAACTCAAATACTAAGATATCCAAGAAGAAATAATTTGTGATTTTCCCATAATTTTTAATGCATTCATAAGGCACTGGGAGAGTGCAAGAAAGAGGTATACATTGGTAACCAAGTGAAATGAAAGTTGGTCAGTTGTGTCCCACTCTTTGGGACCCCTGGACTATAAAGTCCATGGAATTCTCTAGGCCAGAATACTGCAGTAGTAGCCTTTTCCTTCTCCAGGGTGTCTTCCCAACCTAGGGATCAAACCCAGTCTCCAGCATTGCAGGCAGATTCTTTACCAACTGAGCTATCAGGCAAGCCCTTGGTAACCAAAGTACATGACAAATATAGCAAATGCTTAAAAAGTCACACAGCCACAGTAATTCAAATGAGGAATAATCAGATAATGACAAATAAATGATCAGACAAAGTTCTAGAAACAAGTGACTGAGGTTCAAAATGCAATAAATTTGGAATTAAAAAATCTGCCAGCTGTGACTGATTCAGTCTCTACATCTGAAATTGAGAGTAATAATATATATGTCTAATAGGTTTTACTTATTCAACACACTTAGCGAGCACTTACTACATAGCCAGGTATTATACTACATGATGGGGGCTTCCCGGGTAGCTCAGACAGTAAAGAATCTGCCTGAAATGCAGGCGGCCAGGGTTCAATCCCTGGGGCAGGAAGATTCCCTGGAGAAGGAATGGCCACCCACTCCAGTATTCTTGCCTGGAGAATCCCATGGACTGAGGAGGATGGCGGGCTATAGCCCAAGATGCTGCAAAGAGTTGGACATGACTGAGTGACTCACACAACAGCAACAATACTACATGATGGACACATGATAATTAACCAAAGTTCTACTCTCATAAAGCTTGCACTCTAGAGGAAGATACAGATGATAAACACATTCCCACATACTCATATTTAACATCTTATAGTAATAAGGCCTATGAAGAAAAAGGGTAAGAGGACAGAGTAGGGAATTTCTGGGCGGTCTGGTGGTTAGGACTCTGTGTTTCCACTGCCATGGGCCTGGGTTTAATCCTTGATCAGGAAACAGATCCCACAAGGAGCTTGGCACGGCCAAGAAAAAAAAAAGAGGACAGAGCAATGGGGAAGGGACATAATTACTTAAGATATAGGGGTTAGGGGAAGGCTCCCAAATGAGGGAATGATTCATGTCTAGATCTGGAGGAACAAATAAGACAAAGACCCTGAGGTAGAAATCCATGTGACATATTCACATGGCTTCAGCTGAGTGACACATGCAGTTTTAGGTCTTAAGATTGCAGAAACAGCGGGAGATGTTAGATAGACCTTTTAAACCCTACCTCAGAGTTTGGATTTTATTCTAAATGACATGAAAAATCTCTGGAGGGTTTTAGTAGGGGGTGTGTCTGTGTGTGTGTTGATCTAAGTTTTTTAAGGATTACAGTTAACCCTTGAACAACATGGATTTCAACCATGTGAGTCCATTCGCATGTAGAAACTTTTCAGTAGTAAATACTACAGTAATACATGGTCTACTGCTGGTTGACTCTGTGGACGTGGAACTACGGATACACAGGTACAGAGGAACTGAGAACACACAGGGCCTGGGGCTCAAAGAAAGATCACAGCAAGAAGTGGAGACGTGGAAATGATGAACATGTGGATGGCATACCAAGCCTTGGAAATGAATGATGTATCTCAGAACTGGATGAAGACAGAGAGAAGAGTCAAGGACTGAGCTTTGAATACTCCAACATGCAAAGGTCAGGAAAACAAGGAAGCAAATTATGAGTGTGATGCTCCAGAAGTCAAATCAAGTGTTTGAGGAGGAAGAAATAAACTATGTCAAATAGTGTTATCAATTACCATGAAGAACAATAACTGACTAGAACTGTCAATGTGAATTACTGAGAAGCAGACTAAAGATGGAAGTCTACCTGTTTTAATCTCAGTTCAGTTCAGTTGCTCAGTCGTGTCTGACTCTTTGCAACCCCATGAATCGCAGCACGCTAGGTCTCCCTGTCCAACACCAACTCCCGGAGTTTACTCAAACTCATGTCCATCAAGTTGGTGATGCCATCCAGCCATCTCATCTTCTGTCATCCCCTTCTCCTCCTGCCCCCAATCCCTCTCAGCATCAGGGTCTTTTCCAATGAGTCAACTCTTTGCACGAGGTGGCCAAAGTACTGGAGTTTCTGCTTCAGCATCAGTCCCTCCAATGAACAGCAGGACTGATCTCCTTTAGTATGGACTGGCTGGATCTCCTTGCAGTCCAAGGGACTCTCAAAAGAATGGCAAATAATGAATAGAGAAATTGAGCATACACAACTATTGTAAGAAGTTTTGCTATAAAGCAGAGTAATGATACAGGGCCAGAGGTAATTATGAGATCTATGGAGGTTTTTAAAAATATATATATTGGAGATCCTATGGCATGTTTGTATGCTAATGCAAATAATTACATAATAAAGTAAATTTGATTTCTGTGAGAAAGAAAAATAGGATAATCATAGGAGCAAAGTCCTTGAGTAACAGACTGTATGGGATCCAGTGCACAGTGAGGTGATAAGCTTTAGACAAAAGAGGGAGTAATTCATCATAATGAGGGGGAAAGCAGAGTAGATGAGGGAACAGAGACCAAGAGACTGACAGTAAAATTTGCTGTTTTCTTAGTAAAATAGGGGGGAAAGGTCATGAACTGAGAATAGTAACATTGGAAGAGGCACTGGATACATGAGGGGAAAAGATCACCTGTTTAATAATCAGCTCTGACAATGGGAGAGGAAAATGACTTCTCAGAAAATAGGAGAGGAAAACAGCACTACACTTGATATTTATAAATAAAATTAAAGTAACACCAATCTGGTTGGCTGTACACTCAGGCAGGCAGTACTAGGGGGGATTAGGTTGGGTTTTGCCACACAGCACTAGCAGGGAAATTAAGAATATATTCAGTAGATAACTAAGTCACATACCATGGAATCTAAGTTGGGGAAGAAGGATATAAAAAACATGGGGGAAGGCATAGAGCTA